ACTTAGCTGGGGACAAAGAAGACTACTTCGCTTGTGCAGACACTCGCTCAGTTGGCATAAACGACAACTCTGTCTACTGACACAAAAACAAGTTCCTAACGGACACCGGTCATGTGCTATTAGGATGATGAAATATGGGTCTTTTAATCCAATAGAAGCCGGCACGTAAAAGTAAATAAGTATGGCACGATTGCTCCCCGGAGCAAGTAACCCTGGCCACAAAACATACCCTTGCCTCCCTTGTCTTTGCCGGTAATGGCATTCTGCCTATAATACTTGCCGCTGAGCGGTTTCCGGCGGGGGGTCGAGTTTGAGCCCCGAGGTACAACTGGACGAGTGTGTCCCGAAACGCGATCGGTGAGCGTCCCTCTGCCATTGTGAATATACGAGATTTCAAACGACAGGACAACAAGCCTCGGGTTTAATGGTAAACATTAAACTTCTAACCAACAGTCAACGGATTCAAGCCTCCGGGGTTGCAAAACCGGGCGTTGGGTATGGCTAGTCGATGGCGACTTATAAGCCAGAAATGATCATTCCAATCTGTCTTTCTTAAAGAATGTCAGTATAAGATTTTTCTAAAAAAGGGAGTAAGTTGAAGTACAGGATCCAGAATAAGGCAGTATTAAACAAGATGTTTTCGAAAGATTTGATGTGTTAATTTTTGTGCAGAAAATTCAAACGTTCACATTTTGTCCGACAGTATACCTATATTCTGCAAAAAAACTTCTTTTTAACATTTTCTTTTCGGAGTCATATTTACCAGATTTGCTGTAAAGCAGTTGGCAGGACACAAGAATTGCTGCCCTACGTAATACAGGTGGCCATGAGATAAATACCAGACACTTAAGGCCAGGTTTAAGACGGGGTTGGGTTTTAGGCTAGGGTTAGTACTAGGGTTGCAGTAAAAGGCAAACAAGGCGTCCTTTCTGGAATTTAGGGTATGCCCGCGTGAGTGGGGTTCTTATTCTCAGGTCTTTCCAGGAGTTTTTAAAAGTGTATATAACGTGGCTCAAAACGGGATCCCTCTACATCACTGACAAAGCACCATAGCTTTAGGTGTAACACTCGTAGGGAAACATAGTGTTAGTTAATAAACAGCCTTTTTTCAAATCCAACTCCAGCAGTGGGAGAGAACTTTACATGCAGAATATCAGAAGTGCACGAAACAATGCGCACAATTACTCATTTCTCGAATTTTCCTTACTGCAGTAAAATTTCGGGAAGGAACTTGAATGTGAAGTCTTCTGCATTGGACTAAACGTGCCATTAGTTTTTTTTGTTGCTGGGCGCTACCTTTTCATTATTTTAACCTCTTTAAATTATGGCCCTCAGGTCGGTATTTGGGAGAGGCAGCAGAATATGTGTCTAATTCTCCTTTTCGCCTCCGCCTAATGGTCACGTCATGCTGGCTATCGCCGCACGGCCAGCCATCTGCAACTCGATAGTTCGACCGTCGCATCCGACGATGTCCACCTCAGCAGTGGTGGGAGCAGGGACGGTGACTTGCGCAGGGGTTTATAGTGCCAGCAGACTTGCGCTGCATCGACCACACTCTCTCCTCCTCCCCAGCCTGAGTCCGATGTCAAGACAGAGTGAAGAAAACCGGAGACGAGGGAGGCCGCAGGTGGATGGCTTGGACGGATCCTCACCTTGGCGTTCCACCACACTCCCTGGTCCATACAACAATGACCAGGATTTTGTCCGCCACAACAATGGGTAGATGACAGTGGTCCAGTTGTGGGACGACTACCGACAACAGGGTCTGACATCGCGCCCCTCAGATGTTGGTATTTGTTACTGCGCACAGATAACGCCTGCCAGAATCCGATGTGCCCCCGTGTTGATCCAGCGGAGCCAATAGTTTGAGTGTCTAATTCGCCTTTTCGCCTCTGTCTAATGGCCGCGTCATGCGGGCTCCAGATGACTATCTCCGCACGGCCAGCCATCTGCAAGAGTCAACACCTCAGCCAATGGTTAAAAGCTGGGACGCTCTCACACGATCTCACGAGCCAATTAAAAACATGCTCCCCGCGCCCGACCCGGAAGTAGACAACATGGCAACTTTTGTACAGAATGTGACTCTCACAGTGTTTTTATTTTATTTTACTCTTAAACGGGTCTTGGTGGCTGGATTACACTCACGATTTTGGGTCCCGTAAATTGACTGTTTAACTCACTCAGTGCCGTGGGATCTATGCCAGTAGCACCGTAGTTAAAACCGGAGTAAAAGCATCCGCACTGAAAAGAAGGACAGGAAGTGAAGGGTAAGCTGTGATTAGAAACTGTCAGGAAAGCAGACGAGTTGCCTCGTTCGCCTGTGTTCCTTTGTTAAGGTAAGTTCGAGCTCGGATTGGTGTGGTTGAAGGCATGAAGAACTCATGGCTAAAGCAACCTCATGAACGATATAACAAACGCCGTATTGGAAAACAGAAGTACGAATAACATTAGCCTATTTCCATTTAGATTCCCACATCTAGAGTCCCAACTGTCCTAGCAGGACATTTATACATCTACTTCGACCGAAATTGTAACACTGAGATGAGTTCTGGCACTTGGAATTCACAAAAGAGTGCAGAGGTGGTCCAATAGGCCAAGCGGACTACCGTCAGGCAAGTGTTTATTTTTGGCCGTAAAATGCGCGGCCTTTGGAGGGTCAGACGTCAATAAGTTGGCGATCATGCAATGCTTCAGAAAGATGGCCGCGAGAGGCACCCATAAAATATACGGCCTGTATACGAGTTGGGTAATAGCATTGGTAAACTGGACTCTCTTCTGCTACTGGATTCAGTAAGAGAATGTGTAGTATGGCAGCCAGACTGACGCAGCAAACGTCGTTCAGCCATTGAGTGGGTACTAGCCCAGTTCACCAAAGTCAACAACGTGCATGTGAGCTTGATCTCTCCAGCGGTTCTTTCAGGATGGACGGAACGACAACGTGCGTATCCGTCGTGAAAAACTAAAACATGGCCACAAAACCTTTCTATTCTTTTCTGTGATACAAGTATGAAGAAGGTATTTGTGTTACAGGATACCATACTAACAGCACAGATACTAGCTAAAAGCCCAGACATGTGTTTCGCCGACATTCTGTCGCTGCACGGCACAGCTGCAAAGGATTCGGCTCTTCAGGTGATCCTTCGGCAGTGCTTTCTGGCAGATACTCTAGTTTAGAAATTGTTGTTTTTTAATCTCCTCAGAAATGAACTGCCAACTTGGAGTTAATCAGTTTAAACTAAAGTTTATAGGTGCAGACCAAAACTCGATGTATGAATAATTGGACCGAAGTCCATCAGCCATAGCGGGATAACGCATACTATTCATTAACTGCCGACAGTCAACTAGCAGCATGAGTTATTGTAACACTACTAGATGTTACTAGCTGCCCGTCGGCAGTTAATGAATACTTAGTGGTTATCTCAGTGTAAATGATGGACTGCGGCCGAAATATTCGTATATTAAATTTTGTTCTGCACTTACAAACTTTAGTTTCAATTAATTTACTTCAAGTTTGAGGATATTTTCTGAGGAAATTAAAAGCAACAAGTAAATAGAGGGTGTGCGCGAACGAATAGCCTATCAAATTAGAGTGAAAATCATCATTTTTGTAATTTCTGTTCCAGACCTACGACATCAACATTAATTAGTCCACTCACCGGCAAATCGTGGAGATTTGGCGTCGGCAAATGTCATTTACAATTGGGAGGTGTCCCGAGAGGAATAGGTTTCATCGGCTTACTCTTAATATTTAGGTGCTCTCGACTAGCCAGCCCCAACACACGATAGTCCCATCACAAGCTTAAGATACAGAGTAAAGGCAATCCACGAATTCATTAAACTTCTTTACTTTGATATAAGGAGGTGCTGAATGGTAAGTATGCTCTGATTCCTGACAGAGACAAAAATTACTTGAGATTAGAGGCTTCACTTCTACCTTATCCATCAATAAATGCTGTGCAATGACTCGTTGACGCACAGCTCGGATTTAGAAGGCCTAAATGATGCTGCAATAGAAGCAGGTTTTTGAAATTTGTTTTGTTTTATTTGAAAATTAAATGATTGAAGTGTCGAATCTTTATTCTAAAAGAAATGCCTTGGCGCTTGACTATAATTGGTTTCCCGTAAGTTCTTCATAAGCATTTTAAATGCCACTTGTGTTTCCATTCTGGAGAGGATGACCTTCTAGAAAATGTTTGCAGTTACGAAATTTCAGTACGTGGTTTTCGTGCCAAAACCTGACACTGCAACCTTTGACCGCCCAGCGAATTCTACTGTTGACCACTCTGTGGGTTTTTTTGAAGGCGGTAGAAGGCAGCAGTTTGATTCCTCTTAGTGTGGAAAAGGTGATGCTTTGCTGATTTTGGGGTCTGATTGCCATTTACTGGGTGAGAGTATATCATAGATGCCGTATGACTGCACTAAAAGGTACGACAGTGTTATTAAAACAGTAAAATATCGATGGCCAACGAGCGACACAGACAATTTTTAAAGGCCGCCTCAAACATTTCGCCCTGTGCAGCTCAGCGTGGAGCCCCCATGCGGGATATAAACCCTTCGATGTGACGTCTACATTCATGGAGTCATAAATGCCCGGGCAGGGCACGGTAATAATAAACCCCTCTTAATGCAGGAGGCTTTGCGACAAACTCCAGGTAGATTAGGGCTTAAGTTATGATTAGGGTCAGTCGTATAATTGGCGGTCCAAATTTTTGCGTTTTACCTAGACGTATTCGCCGACAAATGTGCTTACTTGATATCCTGTATGTTGTGCATACAGGTGCTATTCTTGTCTTTTCACGTAGAACATAAATTAGCGTCAATAAAGTTTTACTTTTTAGGCAAATATGTAAAGACGACTAAGACACTTTTCGAGTAAATAACAATAAACAGAATGAGGCTTATAAAAGCATTCCAGCGTTAGAATACAGTCGACAGGCTGTTGTTTACATGGAGGTCCGGGACAAACTCAAGACTTCCAGTCATTTCGACGAAGATGGGGCCTAGACCTTTTCATACTCGCCAATCTTTTTGGCCAGGCAACAAGCTGCAATGATTGCTCCAAGTTGGACAATCGCCATGACAGCGATGATGATTCCGACCGTCATGGACTGGACCTTTATGATTTCGTAAATGGTTTTCGCGCAACCCTGATGGGAAAAATAAGGAAATCATGCGTTCACTGAGAAACGGAAATTTGCAAAATTCATGATGGCGTCGGCCATTTTTTCGATCTGGCCTTGGGTTTTACGGGCGGTCATAACAACCAGCAGAGCATTCGACATGGTGTGCAAATGAAAAGTCCAAATCTACGCGAGCAATAGTGATGTCTCAGTCGTCTGCGCTGCCACTGCACGTGTACTCGGACAAAATAAGTAGAAAATATCTGGCAGGAAAATATTATGATAGTTTTTTTTCAGCTAGACTTCGTGTATCGCTTAAAGAACCGCATATATTCAAAGTAGCATTAAATTCTGCATGCCCGGCCGCATATGGTACATGCGCGGAGTAATGTGTTAAAAAATGTGGCAGCCGATTAATACATAAGCCTGTTTCAAAAGAAGTGGGTTTTATTATTTCGCTTACCTGTTGGTATGGTTTTTTGCACGTCTTACTTTCCTCTCCACAACAGGAGGGCGGATACGTGGTCCCCCAGTCAGCAGGACCATGACCTCCACAACATTCGAGCTACATATTAAAAATGCTTTTACCGCGGGTAAACATACCTGTTTTTGCATATGATCAATAACTTCTAGGGTTTGGTTTCGTTCTACTGCGGGAAGCTGATCCAGCTCCTTTATCTGAGTAGCAATGGCATCGGCCGCCAAAGTTACGAACTATTTTAGGATACGCCGGCTTTTCAAGTGTTCTTACCTTGCCCGTGTAGACGAAGACTAGTATACAAGCAATAATTTGGAGTATCACCAGAACGATGATAATTGCTGCAAACTGTACAGAATTCATGAGCATCATTGAAACAAATCATTACAGTTTTTAACATGCAGGCATGCTCCTTCCAGGCTCCGAAGCAGCCGAGGAATCCCAGTAGAAACACGACCAGGCCCAGAACTAGGACGAAGACTGGGACACCAATTCCCTGACCATTAAAGTCTTTGTTTGCTTCCACAACAAAGTAGATTCCAAATCCAATTATGATGGCTCCGAGAATCTGCAATTATGATGTATTCAGCTAATTAAACTCGCACAATTTGAGACATCAAATTTTGACTCAAAATTTCGATTTTAATTTTAGCGACAACTACACAGCCTAGTATAAGTGGCCTGAACCACAGTTAGATACTTTCTCTAGTTATTGCTGGTTAAGGCTTCCCATAGAACATGCAAACCTATAGAAATGCACACAATGGGTTCTCAATGATATGCTTTCTACAATCTCAAGGAGGGATGCGCCTTGACTGGAGGTCGGTCTGAATGTTACGAAGAAGGGTGACTTTCAGAAAAGTGCGATTTCAATCCCTACCTGCGTTTCAAACTTGTAAGTAGTTTTCTTTCGCAAATATCACGTTCAGCGTTAGACGTTACAGGAAGAACGTTCACCTGAGAGGAGATGGCGCTTTTGGACATATCTATACGTACCTAACGATCAGCGCATCGTTTTTACCGGTGGTTAATATACGGGCGGCCAGATTGCATCATACAAGTACTCTAAATAATGAAACTTAGGGTAGAGGAAAATATCTGTACAGCAATTGCTTTCAGTTAGGTCTGGTCACTCAATCGAGAACACATAAATTGTCAACTTGACTGTTTTCCTTCCAGTTAGTCCTTTCAAAAAGCTACAGCCAAACTCCAAATCCCTCCATACTTTATCAATGTTTTACTGACTTGTTAATGGCTATTACACCCTTGGATCGCTTTTCCACACTGCACCACTTTATCCTTGTCTATCATCGGTTGTGTGGCTGTATGGGCAAGATCGCGAAAACGCGTTTGTTTACAACAGTTTGGCTAACAAATGACACCCGATTAGGCGTCAAGACTGGAAAACAGTTTAACATCGTAAACGCCAAGGACATGCTTTAGCTACGTATACCCCACCATCCTACAACTCATAGTTTTAACAATAATTGTCTTGTGTATCGGCTTCTTTAGTACTCTCAGTCCACATAGTAAGTTAGAGCAATTACTCCGTCAGTGATGACTCAGCATTCGCATTTGCCGTTTGCGGAAAATTATGACCTTGTTAAGCGATAGAAAGGCGCCTTTCAGGACTAAAACAGAAGGGTTGATCTGTAATAATCAATAAAAGGAAAATAAGGGTATTGGTATAGAATACGAATGGTAGGACTTGTAAGAGCGGTAGGCGTTCATCAACTCTAATGGTGATGGTTATTACCTTCAATATATGGCTATTATACAAACTTTAAATTTCCTTTTGCCTAGGCTGACTGCCAATGTACATTAAATCTGCTCACTTTCCAAACTGACGTCCAGAACGAAGATATCTATGGGACCATTTCCAAGTTTAGCTTATGGAAATCAGGATAAAGTTAACGGAAACTGTCATTGGTTCTCTGCCTCAAAAGCTTTGAATTTGGGCAGGAGATTATTAAAGATTAATTATAATGAAAAGAACACTTACGAAGACCACTGTATTGAATATGAAGAGGAGGTACTTGATAAGTTTTGTACCGCAAGAAAGTGCCATGGTTTTGCTGTTGTGCCCCAGACTTTTCTGGTCAGACACCAATTTATATGATTAATTTGCAAAACCGCCACTAGACCTTCGATTTTCTGCGGCCAATCAGAAGAATATATGCTATGTGTACCTGTTAGGTAGTTGCCAGCCCACGTAGGTAGACTGGTGTAGTCCTGAGTGAGTAAGCCGCCCGTGTCGGTCTAGGCGCAACTTTCTATGCGCGAAGGGCTCGAATGGCACTATGGTGCACCACACATTCGCAATGCCATATGTGCGTGGAAGTATCCTTACATTGTCAAATCGAACGAATCTAACTTTTGTAGGAAAAGAATGCGACTTTAATAGGACACAGCCTATTCTTGACAATGACATGACCGCCGATACACGCGAGATGCGAGTTCCAGGAACTAGTTGATCAGAAGAATACTGCAGAATAATACTGCAACTTCCTGTGCACGAGTCACCCTTTTCTGCCGCTGTCTCTGATGATGGATTCAAGTGAGAATCTGAAACGTCAGGAGAATAAAGTCCTTGTTCCAGCGATCGCTTCTTCTTGACGAAGGAGACACGATCGCTGGGACAAGAGCTTTATTAGCCTGACGTTTCCGGTTCCTGCTCGAATCCATCATCAGAGACAACAGCAGATACGGGTGATTCATGCACCAGGGGCTGCAGTATTTACAGGATGCAGCAGCCATGCTACCGCATACCTATGAACGTTCACGGCTTCCCCCCCCTTCATCCGGGATCGTTGCACGTGGTGTGTTAATTGCCTGATGGCCGACATTCGCGTCGTTAATTGCCGCAATTTCATCACGTGCGTTGGATGTTGGTGTGCTGATTGCTCGACCATCTGACGCATAAATCCTGGTGTTGGAGAGTGTCCATCTGTGCGCGCCCCGCGTGACCAATTACTCCGCCTAGACGAAGTTTCAGCACAGAGTACAGAAGGGGAAGTTCATTGCACTTGCTAATGGACTGGGGCCAGTAAACCATAATTTCAGTAGCTCTCGGCTCACGCAGTTGTCACCTCTTGCGAAAATTTCGGCCTCGTTGAATGAGCCGCAACTTGGGAGCTGGCGTCATTTCTCCGTACCGCTGCAGCGTGTTCAGCCATTCTCGTTCGGAGCTGTCTTCCGGTTTCTCCGACGTAGTTGCTTTGTCCGCAACTGCACCAGATCCGATAAACGACTCCAGACGTTTCCGGCCGTGGCGGTGGGTCTTTCGGTTTCATTACCAGACGCCCGATGGTTGCCTCCGGCCTGTGTGCAACTCCAACCCCAAGTCGGGCGAGAAGGCGGCCGACAGCGTCCGAAACTTTCTTGACATACGGAAGCGCCCGCCAGGATTTGGTGAATCCACGACCAACGATCCCGGATGAAGGGGGGGAGGAAGCCGTGAATGTTCATAGGAATGCGGTGGCATGGAGAGTACATCCTATAAATACTGCAGCCCCTGGTGCATGAATCACCCGCATCTGCTGTTGTTTCTGGTGATGAGTTCGAGCAGGCACCCGAAACGTCAGGTTAATAAAGCTCATGTCCCAGCGATCATGTCTCCTTCTTCAAGACTTCTTCCTGGGACTCGTCTCTTCGCTTCTATTGGCGATCGCCTTCTGACTTTGTTTTAAACGTAGCCCTTTTAGTTTAACAGATTTCTCTCAAATAAAGTAGCATAATAATCAAAAACGTGAGTCACACTTTTTGCTGTTATTCCTTAGGCAATCATCTTGATTTTAATTTTCCGTGTTTGAGCAAATGTAATGTCTTGAATGTTATGCTATCAGTGCAGATTTGTTGAATATTTAGTTAAGGCGAAAACGATTGCACGAAGACAAATTTACTCTAACAGCAGTTACTCCTGATTTTAGCAAAACGAAAAAAATTAAATCATTCGAAGTTTCCCATGCTTACAAAATGAATTTCACTTCACCAACACACGTAGCAAGTTAGGAAACAGCTTGAGACTTTTTCTAATACAAGCCAGTTGTTAATAATAACAGTAATTAAGTAATTAATCCAAATTGTGGCAAACGGTACAGGCTACAAAGTGTTTTTCGGCGGCATTTATCATCATATGGAGCTGCAGCTTATTACTCACCTGTTAAGATGGGTGTACGCCCAAAGTTCGTGGACATCCAACTCCAAATTGTTTAAGGTATGGTACTGACATGCTACGATGACTTCTACGCACTTGCAAGAATCATAAAGGTACTTGTTGTGGACAAGGTCTTTTTGAGACAAACATCCTTAGGGCTTTGCAGAAGACTGAAGTGTTTGATCCAGAAGCTAATATATCGGTGTGCTCCCATACTCGATTGAGCAAATTTCTGACCTACGGCGACGTAGGACGAGGGGTGGCGAGGCACTGGTGAAATTCTGTTTAATGGAATGCTTATGGCCTATCTGATGGATCCCGTCTTTGGACCGTCTGCGCAGTGCGAGAAGGCATGTTTGTGTTTCTGGCCACAGATACAGATCAGGGTTGTGACTGGTCGAATGAGGGCAGCATAAGAGGGAACAGGTTCTGTATTAATCTACCCCCACTTTATGCTGCTCACCCGCTCCGATATGGGTGAAAATATCCTCATGGAAGTTGTATAGAGACCACCATGCATCCAATCAATACCACCTTGCCCGGAGTTTGCTGGAGGTACCATCTAGATGCGGACTTCGCAATAGTAAATTACGCAAACTCGACGCAATGTCACGCGCGCAGTCTTAATGACTGATTGAGAACATTAAATCAACAAGTCAAAATCCATTCATATATGCGAAAAGGCACATTTCAGGACGC